CCTTCGTCGTGGTAGCTGGCGGCAGTGGTGGAAGTTCCGTGGCGAGGGTGCTGGGGGGAGATGCAGCATCTTCGAGGTGCGTAGCGGCTGCCGCTGCGGACTTCTTGGCGCGAACTGGCTTGTTGGTTGAGGAAGCTTCGCGCTGCAGCAGGCGGACGGCCTCCTTCAGCAATCGCAGCTCCTCTCGTAATTCCTTCGCCTCTTGCTTCCAATCTTTCTCAATTTGGTTCTCCTCATTCGAAATTTTCAAATTCTTCGAATTGGCTTGAGTGGCAAGCAGCCTGGCTTGGGAGACGAGACGAACAGAGGATGCACAGGAGGATGCAGAATGGATGGCCGGTGTGGGGAGAATGCGAGATGGGGCCAAAATCGATGATAATGATGAGACGGAACCTGATTGTTGTGGAACAGTAGAGCCCCACGGAGAGGTGTGCGCCTCATGAGGCAGATGAGCAGCGCTTGACCAGTTGTATCGGGCGAGCTTGCGTTCGTTTTGTCCGTTCAAGAAGTGTGCGGCCGCTGGTACTCTTCCGTCGGCAATTTCCGTCGCCAAAGCTGGAATTTCCAGGCAAACGGAGGACCGCACGATCTTCGCTCTTCAGCGCACCGCGAAGAGAGGCACTGATGAAGCAAGTTGGGTCTGTGTGGAAGCGCTTTCTTTGATTGGGTATGGCGAGTTAACATAGGGATCAGATAATGTGATATCACTTGCGGGTGGCCTCGTAGTGCATCTTGTCGATACACACGGCCAGAGCGAGGTAGAGGATCACGTCCTGACCTGGCGACACGTGAATGTCGTAGTCACCTGCGCGTATCGAGGCCGAACACACAGGTCAATGTGCGAACACGAAGGTGGTGGCGAACGAATGGAGTTGGTTGACGCCGGTACCGGTGGTCATGAAGGCGAAGTTGCGGCTGACGCGAGCTGTCTCGTATCTGCCCACCGAGAAGCTGGTATTCCAATCACCCCAAGAACCGTCGCACTTGATCACTGCGCATGTGTGCCGAGATGCGGTGAGAACTGGGAGCAAACACGCAACCAATTACGCTCAAAAGGCCTTGCTTGGTGGAGAGCGCGCGTACAAGACTTGCGGCAGGGGCGACAGTCCCGCGCTGTGGAGGGAGTGGCCATCCTGATCACGTACTCGACGATACCGAAGATGCTCGTCTGCACGGACGAACAGGCCGCCGGTGAGCACATCATATGCAAACGAAAGGTGGAGCGATATGGGCGATAGAACGGGCACGCCGCGTACGCGCTTGATGGAGCACATCTTGAACATGTGCTGACGCCTCTGGCCGCACTCATCGGTCAGGATGCTGTAGATCTTGAATTTGAGCGACATGAACTTCCAACACTCCTGCAGCAGGATCAACGGCTCGCCCTGTGAGATGGCCACGACAAATAAGAGCTTGTCAGCACAATGCAGCACAGCTTGCGCTGTTTCGAGCGTGAGCGTGAGAGGCGGCGCACCTGCATGTTGAGGATGGCGTATTGGCAGTCATGGAAGTGAAACAATGAACGGTTGATCTTACTTATTTGAAACCACGGCTGGCCATTGGGTCCTGTTGTCGGGCATCAACGTAAGATGGGAGCACTCAATTTCGCGTCTTCCCGCTTCTTTGCGCCAACTTGAGTTCTCGTACCCTGAATCGTGGCATCGCCGAAGCCCCAAAACTTCTCTCGAAGATTGAAGGCCGTGTGTTCGTTGTAGGTGAGGGCGCGGGTCGAGGTCATCTGGGCGCCGTTGTACCACACCTGATAGTGGTCGTTCCGGTGGAATGTCTGCGCGTGATTGTAGGCCTCCCGCATCTTGCGCTGTCGTTCGGCTTCAACTTGTCGCTTCCGCTCCTGCTCGGCCCGCTGCCTTTCCATTCTCTGCGCACGCGACACGACACATACGACACGGACCACAGCACACGCACAGCGGTCAGCATGCATTTTCGGATCACAGTCGCGGGCAACGGCGCAGGGGCTCGACTTACCGCGTCCAGGATGTGGTTGCCGACCGCGCGCATGGCCTCGGCCGCATCTGTGGCCAGCTCCATGAGCATGTGAAACTTGGGAAGGACCAACACCTTCGGTTCCTTCAGCAGCGCGTTGAAGTACCTGAAACGCGCCACCATCATTGGTTATTAGCGTGGTTCGGTATCACACATCAGCGCTCCATTGGCCGGCATGCAGTGCTTTGTTGAAGACGAGGCGTGTACCGCACGAGTTCCTTCTTTCGCCGGGCCATGTGCTCTGGCTTGGTGTGATCGGTGAACCACGGCGCTGGAGGAAAATCGGGCAGGGTACACTCGCGCAGGGCGGCACTGCTGACCAGCTGCGTAGGTTGTGATTGAGGGACGGTTGGCAACAAACAAGAGAGTGGTGAGCGGCATGGAGTCAAATGATGATTGCAGCCGCAGCGTACCTGATCATGGATCTTGCGCAGTTCGACTGTAGCGCTTAAGGGCGATGTGTTGCACGTCGCCCACCTGGAAGTGGATCTCGAACACCTACACAGCGATACATCATGGAGTGAGTGCCGCGCTGCTGTGAGCCGCGCGCCGGTGCCACCACACGCAAAGAAGACGGAGGAGGTGTCGTACGACAAAGGGCTTCTTCTCATCGCTCACCACTTCGGCGTTGGGGATCTTGACATGCACGGTCAACGGCGCTCCTGGCTGCAGTGATAGCGTAAATAACGAATAAACAATACAAGTAAATACAAATAAATAAATAACAAAATAAAGAAAAGGTATCTTACCTCCTGTTCGGGTGCGGTGGGCGCGGAGAGGAGAGTGGGGGCAGAGGGAGCGGCGTAGTGCACCGACGACGCGGCGACGGTAGAGACCACGCGAGGGCGAGAAGGACGCGACGACGGAGGCAAAGCCCCCGGCGAGAGAGGGTAGGCCGCACTTGTGGAGGCGGACAGGCCCGGCGATGCCGATGATGAAGGGCCGGCCGAGCCGGCCACGTAGGGGCCGACCACCGGGGGCGAGTAGAGCATCTGACCGGGCTGGGACAGAGGCGGCATCTGCTGGTACACTGCGGGCTGGTAGACGGTGGCGCCGTGCTGCACGGGTGCAGGCGAGCCTCCATTGCCGACGGGGGCGATCGCGGGCGGGTTGTACACGTAAGCCCCGGCGGGCATGTGGGTGTAGAAAAGGATCGGCGCAGATGATGAAGCAGAAGATGACGCGGATGAGATCACCACCGCTGGCGGATTGTATTGAGGAGCATCCATTACTGTGGTGGGTCGTGGTGGAAAGTGGCGTGTTATCGTAGATACGACAATCAAAGAGCGGGCGCACGAGCACGAACTTCGGCCTCTCTTTCGTGGTGGTTCCACGAAAACGACGTAAAAGGGGCAAGAAATTTTATTTTTTTATTTTTTATTTTCAAAAAATAAAGAGGCAACACGATGGACAAGGTGGCCGCTGAAGTGAGTACCCTCGCCGCCGCTTCATGCTTCCTCCGGTCGTGGTGCCTGACTCGTGAAGTGGCATCAGTACGCGGCTTCGGTGCGGGAATGGTACGGCTGGCACTTTCCGGAGTTGAGCAAACTCGTCCCTGATGGCGTCAGCTACGCCAGGTGTGTTCTGGCCATCGGTATGTCCTGTCCCTCGGCCTCATCAGAACCACAGAGGACCTCACCTTGGTCAACCCTGCGCAGGGTTTCGCGATGACGCGGCAACCGCCGACCTAACGGGCATCTTGACGGAAGAGGTGGCGACCACTGTCAGGGAGGCTGCCCTGTACTCCATGGGCACGGACATCACCGCAGCAGACCTACAGCAAATCCAAGAGTGCTGCACCAAGCTCATCGCCCACGCCCAGGAGTACCACCCCACCGACTAAACGAACACAAAGCTGGGCTGGTGCAAAAAAGAAAAAGTAAGAAAAACGGAATTTCTTGATTTGCGGACTTGGAGGAAGCCAAAGGTCCCAATCAATGAAGAAGACTTACGTCTGGGCCTTGGGGACGAGAGGCTCCCCGCCATTTTGCTCTCGTCTCTTCTTTGGTGTCAAGACCTCAACCGCCCGGCACCCTCCCAACCAGCAACTACTCTGCCCTTCTCTGTACGCTGCGAATCGAGAAAACAACCTAGAGAAGAGGAAGAGAAAGACAGATTGACGTGCACGCCGGACACCACAAATCAGTCACTACACAACAATGCGCAAGGGTCTCGTCGTACGAAGGTCGAGCACGGTTTCGTCACGCCTCCTGGGCGGTGGCAGGCAGGGAGGCTCGGCGTCGCTGCTGCGATTGCCCAGACGGTCGATCATCACCGACAACCAGCCCATTCGCACGCACGCGCAGGAAGAGGTCGCGTCGTCGAACGGCAGTTCAGGTGTGATCAAGCGTATCCTCGCCATCGGCGTGGGTGCCGGTCTGGTCGTGACCGCTCTCACTCTGCCACTTGCCGATGAGATCACCAATCGCGAAGAGGTACGCCATTTTGTCCTTCTCTCCCGTGCAGCCCAATTGGTGCTCGATTTCGGTTGTCGCGTAGTGCTGTGGGCGTGTAATCGATGAATCGTAGATTTTATAGACCAAATTCAACAAAAGATTTGGCAGTGACAGACAGCACCAAGAGTAGGGCCGGGCACGATCTAAACCCGTTAGATGTCGTGTTGTTGCGTTTGTTCGTTCGATCTGGTCTCCTACTTGTAGAAACCGCTGGCACTGCTGGAGAAGCTGTTCACCAAGTACGCCAGCGCGGAGCGCAACGGCGTAAAGTTCATGACGCGGCGGGACTTCATCGCCTCCATGATGCCGCCCGACAGCGAGCTCGGGCCGGCGCTCGCCCTGGACACCTTCCGCGAGCTGTTCCCCACCGACGACACCCTCATCTCCTTCTCCGAGTTCGTCCTCTTTGATGCCCTCTCCTCTTCGACCAAGAAGGCCCTTGCCACCTCTTTCCAGGTCTTCGACACCGACTCTGACGGTCTCCTCGCCAAAGGTACTCGATTCCCGCCGCCTACCTGCGCCAGGGCCTTGTGAGCTGACGGATCGCATCGCATCGCACAGACGAGTTCCGCAAGGTGGTGGCGTCGACGGGCGTGGGTCCGCGCCTGATGTTTGATCTGGACGACCCGTACTGGGAGCGCTACTTCGGCAAGGACGGCAAGGGCAAGATCAGCGAGGCTGAGCTTGGTCTCATCTTTGGCGTACGCCACACGCACGCACACACACACGCACGCACACACACGCACGCACACACAACACGCACGCACACGCGCGTACCAACCAACTCACGTTCTCTCTCTTGCGCCCTCTGTGCAGTCGTTGAAGGAGGGCATCCTGGCGCAGGAGTTCTCGCGCAACTCGTTCGAGAGCGACAAGAACGCGATCCCGATGGAGGCCTTTGCGCGCGTGCTGCTGGTCAACGCGCCCTCGACTCGCATCCCCAAGCGCGTGGTGGACAACCTCAAGACCGTGAGCGCGGCGTTCAAGGACGCCTCGGTCACCTTCGATCGATTCCGCGAGTTCAACATCTTCATCTATCGGCTGTCGGAATTCGAGCGGGCGCTCAAGATGGCGATGGTGGCCAACTCGGGCAACATCACGCGCGACGACTTCCGGCGCACCGCCCGAGTGTCCACTGGCGTCGAGCTCAACCCGTCCGAGATCGAGCTCGTGTTCCACCTCTTCGAGGACCAGAACAAGCGCGGCATGCTCGACTGCAACGCCTTCCTCGACATCATGGAGTTCAGGCGCGCCCGCCGGCTCTACGACATCCAGCAGCTCAAGGTCATCAAGCACGCCGTCAACCCCGGCCGCGCCATGGTCAAGGCCATGGAGAGCTTCGCCATCGGCGGTTTTGCCGGCGCCATCGGTGCCACGTTTGTGTACCCGATCGACTTGGTGAAGACCCGCATGCAGAACCAGCGCCGCACCAAGGGCGGCATCGTGCCGCCGGGCCGCGTCATCTACACGTCGTCGTGGGACTGCGCCGCCAAGGTCCTCAAGTACGAGGGCTTCAAGGGCTTCTACAAGGGACTGGGTCCCCAGCTGATCGGTGTCGCTCCCGAGAAGGCCATCAAGCTCGTCGTCAACGACTACCTGCGCTCGTGGTTTGGTCAGGTAGGCGTCGTCTTCATCTATTCGACTATTGCCGCCGAGAGTAAGTGATGCTGATCGTGCTGTGGTGTTTTGTGTGGTGCCTACAGGTGCAGGGCGCCAAGCCTGGAGAGATCTACTTCCCGCTCGAGGTTCTGGCCGGCGCCGGTGCGGGAGCCTCGCAGGTGATCTTCACCAACCCGCTCGAGATCGTGAAGATCCGCCTTCAGGTGCAGGGCGAAACGCCCGGCGCCAAGAAGTCGGCCTACCAGATTTGTAAGGAGCTCGGGTTCACAGGTAACCGACCTCACCTCCCCTTTTTCTCTTTCCTCTTGTGCGTGTGCGGTGGTGCGTGTGCGTGTGTTCTGCCCAGCAATGATACGGCGCCTACAATGATGACCACATTATGCACTTTCATGAACCACGTGTTATGAAGGAATTTCTCAGATGAACGTCTGAGGCCCACGATCATTCATTCTCGTTCTATTTGTTACTTTTTCTCAATTTTATTTATTCATTTACTCACTGATTTGTTACTAATTCTTTTCGCTTCTTCTTCGCGCCACAGGCCTCTATAGGGGAGCGTCGGCGTGCTTCCTGCGCGATATCCCCTTCTCGGGCATCTACTTCCCGGCCTACGCCAAGCTCAAGCAGTCGTTCAGGGACGAGGAGGGCCGCCTCTCCAACACCAACCTCCTGCTGGCCGGTTCGCTGGCCGGCGTCGCCGCCGCGTCGACCACCACCCCGGCCGACGTCATCAAGACGCGATTGCAGGTCGAGGCCAGGCTCGGCGAGGCCAGGTACAACGGCATCCTCGACTGCTTCGTCCAGGTGCTTAAGTCTGAGGTACGCCAACTCCCCTCGACACCGCCACTCCACTCTGCCCTATTAACCGCGACACACACGCACGCACGCGCACACACGATACACAGGGTCCGACTGCGTTCTTCAAGGGAGTGGTGCCGCGCGTGTTCCGCTCGTCGCCGCAGTTCGGCATCACGCTGCTGTCCTACGAGTTCCTCCAGGACATGTTCCACCCGGAGGACATCGTCGTGTCGGCACCCACCAACGCCCCCGTCGCCCAGGACGACATCAAGCCCGCGCCCTCTGTCATCCACCTCTCCGTCGCCGCCGCCGCTAAGGAGGAGGTCGAGGTCAAATAAGCCGCTGCCATGCTGCCCAGCTTGTGCCTGTGCCATCATCACACCCGCCATGATGAGCCCAGGCAAGAGGAGTGTAAAAGAACAAAGATGTATTGTGCCAACCAACCGAGCCCACGTGGCCGATGATGATATGAGACGACAATGGTGATGTTCAGCTGTCGTTGGCGATGTCTCGGGCAGCGGCCGAGGCGTGCGGGAAGAGTTGGTCGATGGCGCCCAGCAGGCGGGCGTAGTGGTCGGGCTGTTCGTCGGCCAGGAGGGTGACCTGGGAGCACAGGCCGCCCCACACGTTGGTCGCCACCTCTTCACAAGCCTTGTCCTGCTGCTCGGTCCGCTCCTTCTGCTCCCGCCGGTTGGACTCCACAACGCCGTGGAGATGCGCGAAGTCCGCGGCGGCCCTGGGCCAGTCGCCAAGGGCCACCAGCGTTCTGAACCTGGCGGTCACAACAATAAAAAAATGCGTGCCGTTGGTTTTGGGGTACCAAAACCACAACTACGATCGTCGTCGAGCGGATGGTACCGGTTGGTGTAGCAGGCCAGAAGGTGGAGATACTGTGTCTCTAGGCGGAAACGGGCGAAGGCGTTGGCGTCCCACAGGCTCTACAGTTACGACAACATGTAGGAAGCTATCAGCTGCTGATCCTCAAGTGGGGAAGAAGCCGAGCGGGCAGGAGGAAACCTGCTGCAGCTCAACAGCACGGTCGATCATGGGCAGCGCCAGCTCGGGCTTGTCGAGCATCATGTAGGCCACCCCGCAGTTCTTGGTACAGGTCACCAGGTGCATTTTGGCCCTGGAGACAACGCTAGCAGGCGCTGTCACGAAGTGCGTGGCCTCGAACTGGCACACACGACACAGTTGTTGTTGTCATATTGTGATGCACCAAGCAGAAATGACACAGCTGAATGAACACTCACCTCGTCGTGGGTGCGGATGGCCTTGCGGTAGTACTCGACGGCCAGCGATAGGTAGCCCAGCTGGCGTAGTGCAAAGCCCTTGCTGGACTGGGCCTCGATCAGCCCCAGGTACCATTCCAGGTACATCCGCCAGTCCCAATCCTCACCTTCGCTATCTGCATCTGCCTCACGACACCTGCAGGTCAGCCAAAGAACGAAGAAAAAGAACGAAGAGGCACCTGCGATGAGCCTCTCGAAGTAGTGGATGGCCAGCTTGCTGTTCTCGAGAGCATCTTCAAATCGGCCCTCGTGCGCGTCGGTGTTGTATTGGTTGAGCAGAACCTGGGCCTTGACTGACGGCCGAGGCTCTGCCGCGTACAAGGTATCTGCAATCCACACAAAGCACACAATCAATGAGGTCAGCTGGTAAGAGCTGGCCAATGCCCACAGGGGCGAAGGTGAATTGAACCGTAGAGGGAGGCTTCGTCGCGGTGGCCGCTGGTGGGCTCCTCGAGCGTGGTCTTGCGCCGTTGGAGCTCCTCCGCCTCTCTTTGTTCGCGCTCGGCGCGCTCGCGGTAGAGCTCCTTGTGCACCACGCGCGGCCGCTTCGGCCCCTCTTCGGCGCTCTGCTGGCCGTACCTGAGCGCGGCCGCCTAGGGCAGTGACCGTCAGTTCGCGCGCACTGAGTACTGGTGGGTGAGGGTCGGTTGGGGTAGAGGGTGGTACGGGGTAGGCGAGACGGAAGAGGTGGCGCCAGAGGCTGTCGGTGAGGGCGATGCGCCGCCACTCGGAGTGGACCAACTCGCACACAGCCAACTCCGAGGGGGTGAGGTACCCCAAGACGCTGCAGCCGTTTGGGTGGGGGGGGGGTGAACAAACGTCAAGCAGTGGTGTGGGAAGAGAAATAACCGTACTTGAGCACAAGCTCCTCCGGCAGGCCTCTCAACATGACTATTGTTGGGTTTAGTCTTGGCAGAAGCAGAGAAAAATTTTGATGTAGGAAAAGATAGTGGAGTCTTGAGGAAAATAAGGAGAAAATGGAGTTTCTCAGCAGGTTTCGTGCGAACTCACGCAGTTTTGCGTGATATACCATCATGGCAACCAATTGGACCCGATTTCCACACTTAAATAACTCTATCGGGACAACCAACCCAAACAGCACAGAAAGACAAGCCAACAAGGACAAGTGGCCCTAACAAACAAAAACAAATCACAATATGAAGTACTTACTCGCCGTGGATAAGTCGAACAGCACCAAGCATGCACTTGTGTGGATTCTGCAACACGCCAAGCCGATGATCACGTTTTCCTCACTCACATCTACCAGCTCCAACGTACCGCCACTTCACCTTACTTGCGTGCCCTCTAGGCCCTCGCCCACGTGTCTCACCTGTGCGTGTGCGCTGTGTGCAGCCAACGTTCTGGAAGTGCCCTGCATCGACTCGGACTGGCGAGCCCAGATGCGGGGAGAAGCCCTGCTCAAGCGATTAGGCAACACGCTCGAGAAGCACCAGGTCCCCTACACGGCCGTGATCCGCCACGGCGACGCGCGCAAGAAGCTGCCCAGCCAGGCCAAGAAGCTGGGCGTGGACGTGATCGTGATGGGGCGCCGGGGCGTGACCGCCGACAAGAAGTCCCCGGTGGGCAGTGTGAGCCAGTACGTGGTCGAACACGCGCCGTGCTCCGTTGTCATCATCAAGGAGGACAAAGACCTGCCATCTTCGACCGAAGAGCAAAAGCCCGAATAAAAATGGCCGACTACAACTTGTAAATGTATCCATAAACTGTCCGATCGACAGCTTGCTGAACTGGTTGTGGTCTTGCACTTCTCCTTCTCTGCGCCCTCCTCACCACGATGCTCCGCTTCGCCCAAGGGGATGGAGGCGAAATTCCGAGCGTTAGTGCAGAGAAAGGTACGCCATCGGCGGCAGCGAGCGAGAAGGGGAAGGAAGCACTGAGAATCGAATACCCTACCCAACGACCACAACGCAACGACCACAGTAAGGAGACGCAGAAGGAGAAGGAATAGAAAGTGTGTGGACGCACAACCAACAGAATCAGAGAGAGAGAGAGAGAGCAGAAGAAGAGAATGCAGGCGGTGAAGACGGGCGCGCACGGGTTCAAGAAATTCTACGACGGGGTGCAGTATGTGCTGGAGATAGAGCCGGTGCTCACCATACGGCGCATTATATGGATAGTGTTGGGCGGGTGGGTGGTGGCCGGGTTGTTTCTCTTCGCCGGCCTGGTCCTGTGCCTCACCATCGTGGGCATTCCCATGGGCCTCGAAGCTTTCCGCTGGGCTATGTGCGTTCCTCACATTCTTGCCCACATGTGCCCACCTTGCAAATTGGTTAATATGCAACACCTCACACGTGATTGGCTCCTTTTAGTTGGGCCATTCTGCCGATCGGATTCAAGCCGGTGCCGATCCCGCCCGAAGAAGCCACATCGGACTTGCACCGACCTGGCACCACCTACAACACCGCCGCCAATGTCATCTGGCTGGTGTGCTTTGGCTGGCTCATCATTCTATCCCTCGTCATGGCCTTCATCAGCAACATCATCACCATCATCGGTACGCACCCTCACCAGTCCACCCAGACGATTGGACATACTGTTCTGAACAGCGACCGCCGTTGGGTCGTGTGATCAGTGCAGGCATCTTCACTGCGGTGCAGTTCGCCCGTCTGTCCAAGTTCTCGGTGTGGCCGTACGGCATGAAGATCGTCAGCAAGAAGAGCCTTAAGCGCAAGCGCAAGGAGGAGCGTGAGCGCGAGCGTGCGCAGCGGGTGGAGATGGGCGTGGCGGGCCTGAGCGCGGCACAGACCACCACACAGGCACAAGCCTACTGAAATTCTGTAGATATTCAAGAGTTTCTTTGCCTTTTCTTTTTGGCCTGAAGGTTTTGTTTGTTGTAGCTCTTGATCGAAGCACGAGACACGTGAGCCATCTATCTATCAATACATTGAAGATGTGGAAGAGACTGTTCACTACCAATGCCGCTCCCGTCACGGCGAACCCCCGCGTGTTCTTCGAGGTGACTCGCGAGAACAAGCCTCTCGGCAGAATCGTGATGGAGGTACGATCACGTCTCCCTTGGCGCTAAAACTGGGACAGGCCAGTACTGCTTTAGTGCCGCGCTGGCAATCACATTACTGCGGAAGTCAGCATTACCAAAATCGTTCAAATTGCTTGATTCGTCATGCTCTCGTCTAAATTGTGCAAATGAGATTATTAATTCAGTCATTCATTCATTTGATGCACGCAGCTCTACAAGGACAAGACGCCCAAGACCGCCGAGAACTTCAGGGCTCTCTGCACCGGTACTTTAACTCCCAACACTGCACCAGAGGTGAGAGTGCCTTACCCCGGGCTGTGTTTGTGTGGCGAGTGCAGGCGAGAAGGGCGTGGGATCGATCGGCAAGCCCCTGCACTACAAGGGCTCCATCTTCCATCGCGTTATCCCCAACTTCATGATCCAGGGTGGCGACTTCACCAACTTCAACGTATGTTGTCTCGGCGCGCCTGCCAACCGCAGCATTGCTGTACTTTGCGTGACTCGTGGCGTCTGCTGTCCCCCAGGGCACTGGTGGCGAGTCCATCTACGGAGCCAAGTTCGCCGACGAGAACTTCGTGATGAAGCACGTTGAGCCTGGTATTCCTCCGCACCAACCACTCAAGGCTCCTCCTTCTACAAAGTCGCTGCTGTGCTGTTAACACCGGACGCCACGATATACACAACAGGCACCTTGTCGATGGCCAACGCTGGTCGTAACACCAACGGCTCGCAGTTCTTCATCACCACCGTGCCCACTCCCTGGCTCGATGGCCGCCACGTCGTGTTCGGCAAGGTCGTGGAGGGCATGGACGTCGTCCAGAAGATCGAGGCCGCCAGGAGGGACAGCAATGACAGGCCCCTCGAGATCATCAAGATCTCGGACTGCGGCGAGCTCAAGCAGTAGAACAATGACAAGTGACCTGCGCCTGCAACGTTAACGACAAACAACAACTCTTTGTTATGACCCCTACTTGAGCCTTACAGTGTACTCTTGGATGGTGGCGTAGGTGTGAGCGCCCGTGAATCTGAACAAGACCAACTCCTGGAGAGTAGTTGGTGGCTGAGTGTTCCCCAACAAGGCAAATGGTAAGTCAGGCGAAGAAGGCCCCAGACAAGTGATGGAATGTTTAACATTGCCCTGTTGAGAGATAATATAGAGAGTAGTGGTGACTATAGAGAAGGTGTAGTTTTAGAAGAGAGATATATTTTTCTTATGGATTTCTTCCATTTATCTGTTTGCCTGAGCTCCAGTTACTCTGGTATCTAGGGAAGCCTTGGTTGACTGTAACATGCCCAACATTATGACTGTGTCTTGCTTGTTGGGGAGTACAGTCAGGTGGGTGGTTTATGAAGAATGCACCAATGTGGGTGGTGTGTGGTGTGCTCCTTTGAGGTCATGGGAATGGACAATGTGGGTGGTGAAGGCCAAGTTCAGCAGCCAGTCAGCCCAGTTCAGTAGCACATGGCTGTACATCATGCTCCAAGATTGAGCAGGCCTGAAGTGTGCAGCAGCTTTGGGAAAGGAGAGTTTGTATTGTGTTCAAAGGATAGAACAAATAAATAAGAATAATAATAATGGTACTTGGTGGGGCGTGTGCGGCTCACTGCTGTTGAGCGCGCATGGACTTCTGTTGGTTCCACTCCTCCACAGGCGTCTGGCCGCCGAAGCCCGACGCGTAGTTGCCCTTCAGCTTGAAGAGCTGCTTGAAGTGCGGCTTGCTACAAGGAGGAGGAGTAGATTAAGTATACCTGGAGGAAGAGGACGAGAGCTTGCAGAAGAGGAGGAGAGGAGCGTACCAGTAGAGCTTGCCCTCAAGACCAGCGTAGTTGCCCAGGGAGAGGGTCTTGTTGCAGTGCGCGCATCTGATGTGCAACGATGATCACATACCAGAGTAAGCGAGTGCACACAAAGCGCGTCACCGCACACACTGCGTTTAACACTGTTGGGTACCGGAAGCAGAGCTTGTGGAAGATCTTGCCGTCGGCCGAGAGCTTTTCGTTGATGTAGACGGTCTTGGCGCACACGGCGCACGCATCGCCGCGGACTGTGATCTTCTTGTTGGCCGTGGCCGGGCTCGGGGCGGCCGACACCGGTCGCTGGATGCCGCTGCCGCCGCCGGCCGTGGTTGCTGGGATTGAGGGCGCCGACGCGGCTCGCGGGACGCCGCCGTGGGGACCGCGCTCGATAACCGTTCCAGCCTTGACCGTCTCGCGCGGGTGCGGCTCCGACGTCGTCGTCGACCCCGGGGCGTCGCCGCCGCTCTCCTTCCTGCGCTTGCGCTCCTCCTCGATGAGGCGCATCTCCTCTTCCTTCTTGCGCGCCGCCTCGCTGTCGGCCCGCTCCTTCTCGCGCTCCTCCTCCTCGATCTTCTTCTTCCAGTCCTCCTCAGTGATCTTCACGCTGCGACGGTTGGCCAGCTTCTGCTGCTTCTCGCGCTCCTCCTTCTCGCGCTTCTCCTTCTCCTCCTGCTCGACCTTCTTGCGCCACTCCTCCTCGACGTTCTTGCGTGGCGTCTTGGCCAGCGCCTCCTCGCGCTCGATCTCCTTCTGGATCTTGTCGTCCTTGGGCTCCTCGCCGCTCAGGAACGCGCTCTCCTGCTTGCGCTCCTTGACGGCCTCGGCGATGCGGCGCATCTCCTCTTCCTTCTCGCGCGCCTTGTCGCTCTCCCTCTTCTCGCGCTCCTCCTCCTCGATCTTCTTCTTCCAGTCCTCCTCAGTGATCTTCACGCTGCGACGGTTGGCCAGCTTCTGCTGCTTCTCGCGCTCCTCCTTTTCGCGCTTCTCCTTTTCCTCCTGCTCGACCTTCTTCTTCCACTCCTCTTCAACGTTCTTGCGTGGCGTCTTGGGGAGGGCCTCCTCGCGCTCGACCTCCTTCTGGTGCCTGTCGTCCTTGGGCTCCTCGCCGCTCAGGAACGCGCTCTCCTGCTTGCGCTCCTTGACTGCTTCGGCGATGCGGCGCATCTCCTCTTCCTTCTCGCGCGCCTTGTCGCTCTCCTTCTTCTCGCGCTCCTCCTCCTCGATCTTCTTCTTCCAGTCCTCCTCAGTGATCTTCACGCTGCGACGGTTGGCCAGCTTCTGCTGCTTCTCGCGCTCCTCCTTCTCGCGCTTCTCCTTCTCCTCCTGCTCGACCTTCTTCTTCCACTCCTCTTCAACGTTCTTGCGCGGCGTCTTGGGGAGAGCCTCCTCGCGCTCGACCTCCTTCTGGTGCCTGTCGGCGCTGTCGTCGTCGGGACCCTTGAGGAACGCGCTCTCCTGCTTGCGCTCCTTGACGGCCTCGGCGATGCGGCGCATCTCCTCCTCCTTCTCGCGCGCCTCCTCGGCCCTGTCGCGCTCCTTGACCTCGCCCGTGAACATGGAGGCGATGCGACCCACCTTGGCGTTGCGCGCCAGCTGCTGTCGCTCCTCCTCCTTCTTGCGGCGGATCTCCTCCTCCTTGGCCTTCGATCCGCCCTCGTCGTCGCCCGACCCGATCTTGTTGCGCCACGCCTCCTCCTTCTCCTTCTGCGTCTTGGGCTTGTTGGCCACACCGCCGGCATTGGGATTGGGGGCGCTGGCCGCAGGTGTCGACGGCGTGTCAGCGGCGGCGGGCGCTGCCACGTCAGCTTCGGCGGCGGCCAGCTCGGCTTCCATGCGGGCCAGCTCCTCCTCCTCGCGGCGCAGGCGCTCCTCCTCGGTCTCCTCCGCGGCGGCGGGCGACGGCTGCTGCTGGCTCTGCTCGCGGGCCATGAGCTCCTTGAGTTCGCTCTCGACGCGCTCTTCCTCGAGGCGCTGCTCCTCCTCGAGCTGCTTGAGCTCCTCCTCGACGCGCCGCATCTCGGCCAGCTGGGCCTCCTCCTCCTCGAGGCGAGCCAGCTCCTCCTCCATCTCCATGATCTCCTCGAGCTCGCGCTCCAGGTCGGCTTCGCGCTGGCGCTTGCGCTCGAGCTCCTGGAGCTCGTCCTCCATGCGCTTGAGCTCGGCTTCCTCCTCCTCGAGGCGCTTGAGTTCATGTTCCTCCTCCTGCAGCCGCTTGAGCTCCTCATCATTGCCGGCCGCGGCCTGCGCGACGGGCTTTGCTTCGACCGCCGCCGCCGCGGGCGCGGGCGTGGGCGCGCCATC